CCTCAGCCGCCAGTGCAATTACCAGCCGAGCCGAAGGCGAGGTTGGTAAGCACGCGGCTGAGGGTCCTTTATTTTACTTCCCGTGGTTAGAACGCGATTTTCCGTCTCGGCGTAGGCGCAAAGTCAGAGTTCCCTCCCGCGAAGCTATTACGTAATGCGTATCGCGAAGCGGGAGGGAACTCTGACTTTGGGCCTACGCCGAGACGGAAAATCGCGTTCTAACCACGGGAAGTAAAATAAAGGACCCTTAGCCGCGTGCTTACCAACCTCGCCTTCGGCTCGGCTGGTAATTGCACTGGCGGCTGAGGATCCTTTATTTTCCCTCCCTAGGTTAGAAATATACTATTTACTCCCTAGGGGCATAATATACTATTCGATTTTTTTCCATTCTTCAAAAGGACGAAACGTGTATTCAATATTTTTCTTCAATTTTCGTATTCCACCATTCTATTAAATAGGGGAAAATTAAGCTACAATGTAATTGAGCTTTGTTTTTGTGAAAAAAACGTTTTTCCTGGTGGTTTGGAAGACTGGGAGATGATAGAGTTCAGAGTCGGATGACTATTCAAAGTTAATAAGAAGCTGTGTAAAAAAATTATTTGAATTTTTGGAAAACTTGAAAATATTTTTGATCGCTCTTTCCTGGTAAGCCAATGTTTTCCATTAAGAAAGAATGAATACCGAGAGGAAAGAAGAAAATGGCAAGCAATTGAGAGGTCGGATATAATGAGTCTTTATGACATTAGGCCCGATAAATTATTGGGTCTAGTGACATGATATACTATTTCGACATATATTTTTTTGGAGAGCCCATACTACATATACCTGTATTGACGAAGCACAACCAGCTGACAGCATAACAATGACAATTAACCCAAGTCCAAGAGTCGTGTACGGATCAAATGCGAGATCGAGTATAATTGTTACATAGAATAACACACCCAACGTCAGTCCAAGAAAAAATCCTATAACTGTTCTAGCCTTTGTGTGTGTCCCAATGGGATCAAAACACACGTGGTATAAGAATGGAGAGCATTTCAAATACGAAATCAGTATTGCCTCGTGCCGTTTCTCGATGAATTGACCAAGAACATTCATGTGCTCCAGTCCTACCATTTTGTTCACTAAAAAATCACTAAGATGATAACTAAACTCACGTAATATTTACTTAACTACTTCTAGGAAAAATCATTGATTTCATTAAATAAAATTATTATAAATCGTTTACGAAGTAAAGAATATATTCTACAATTATTGATTTTCATTTCTCTATTCTTTTGTTTTTTAGATTCTTTCAATGTTCAATTCAGTCGTTTTACTGCAATATTCTGAGTTCTGGTACTATTGCTTTCCAGGCAGGACTCGCCGAGCTTCAACAACCGTCCCAAGCTTGGCTCAACCTCGACTTGCCGAGGGTTGGTAGACAAGCGTGGGCCATAATTTAGCCAATGATTAAGTCAGTGTTCAGCCAATGGCGCATCTTGAGCCTTAGTTACCAGGATCGGACCAAGCATGGACGAAGACTGTCCGCCGATGCTTCGTCAACGAGGGGCTACCAACCTTGGCCCAAGCTTGGTGGCCAATGAGTAGCCAGAATCGACAGACGTTCATTGGCGGCCATTCCTGGTCCAAGCTCGATTAGCCCGTCTTCGGCCAAGCATCGGGTAGCACAGCCTTCATCCAACATTGGTCCGACTGTAGTAGCCAAGGTTCAAACTCTAACACTGGCTGGCGACTGGCTCAGCCACTGGCTGAATTATGGTCCACGCTTGTCCACCAATGCCCGATGAGTCAGGGTTGAGCCAAGCTTGAACCGGCTGTTGAGAAGAAGGGGAGAGAGGCGTATTTGTAAAAACTCTCAGGGTTAAAGGAAGGGGGAAAGGACATAATAATAATAATAATAATAATAATGACAATAACAAAGATCGAATCTCCAAGTGTAATGAAAAATTGAAAATCTGGATTCATCAAAAGTACTCAGGTGGGGGAAGAGGGGAGGTATTTTTTCACACCCCTCGAATGACCAGGTGATTAATAAATAATAAAATCTAAATTAATCCCGATTATATTTAAAAATTCATTCAGCAAAGAATTAAATCGAGATATAATTCATATATGGACGATTTGAGTCAACAGTAATAAGAATTGCGCGGTAGACTAGTGGTTAAGGGTGCCAAGTGAATTTGAAAAAAGATTTTTAAAATTTTTTTTCTTTCCCTCCATCATTGGAGAAATATGTATTCATCCATCCGACGAAATTTCAAACCCGCAACCGGAATTAGACATCGAAAAAATAAAGGCGGAAAATCCTCTATTTCGTGTGACGAACCTCGAGAAAGCATGGGATCAAATGGGTACGGCGGGTTGAATATCTCTCTTATTCACCCCGGTACCCCATTATTTTTTGTCGCCATCACTTTGAACACATCATTCCCCATATCTTCAAATTTTTCCAAATTTTTCTTGAGTTCCTAGGGGGTTGAAACGTTCAATTTAATCAAAACCCTATAAGAGGCTGAGTATAAGACTGATTTTGTTTATTTAATTTCTCGATATCCATAAGTTCTAAAATTTTAAAATTGTCACCGATGTTCACCATTTGTCTAATACTATTAATTTAAAAAATTATAACTTTGTTGGTGAATGTCAATTTTCAAGGTCATCGCCAAATTCACTTGGCACCCTTAAGGCATAGGACTAGTGATGTTAGGATCGTGAGTTCGAAACCGGCTCGGGATGGATTATTTTAAATTAACAAATTAGGAGGAACTTTCATTGAAAGATGCGTTAGGGGTGGGTGATTAGAAGATAATCAATCATAAAAATGATTGAATGAAAATTATTTTTGATTTTTTTAATCATTTAAATCAATATACATTAGTCACGGCTAACGACTGGCGACCGTATCAGGCCCAGTCTTGGTGGCCAAGAATGGCCCAGCGTTATCATTTCGGTGCTCAACCAGCCTTGGGCCAGGCCTGGACGCCTGTGTTGGCCCGTGACTGGCCAAGGTTGGGCCGCCCTTGGACCAAGCTTGGGCCATTTGTTAATTCCTACCTGGGTTGTTTAATTTTGCTGGACTACAGATTTTACAACAATATCGGGTCACTTATTACCAAACTGTTGATAAATAGTATTTTTCATCACATTGTCCGTTAAAAGGCATTCGACGGACACGAAACGTGAAGAAAAATTAGTTTCGTTACTCGGCCGAAACGACTTCTCTGACTTTTATAATTGAAGTCCACGGTATCATCTCGGTCTGTAACCCTCACACTCGTCGAAAACTCCTGTGACACTAGACGCGAATGATATTTTTCATCACGCTGTGATGAAAAGTGAACTTTTCGGCACGCTCCGCGTGCCTAAAAGTCCAATTTCCGCCACATTGTGATGAAAAATATTGTTCGTAACTCGTGAAAAAATGTTTTTTAGCTCGTTACGAAAGATACTATTTCCGTAGTGACTTTCAGTTTTGCCAGTTCGGGGAAAGGTACCAATCCTCGGACTGGGAAAAGTGAAGGTCAGTACGGAAATTTTTTTTTCGGTACTGATCGTCACTTTTCCTCATCCAGAAATATGGAAATTTTCCGGACGAGGAAAATTTCCAATTCTCGCCTTCGGCTCGGACGCCAACTCCACGTGAGTAAAAAACCCCATGGCACTCGCCCTGAAATGATATTAATCAGTCAGCAACATGCTTTCGTGTTTTTGGAAGGGATACACTACTGAGTTTAAAAAATTCTGTAGTTGAAAAATGAACATATCGGGGTTTCTTCCACTAGTGTATGTACTCAGAAAGATGTTGAATGAGCCACTGCAGAGCATAACACCTCATGTACCGGGTCGATACATGACATGTAGCACAGCCAGACAAATGATATCGAAAACACGAATACGGTCGTTTCAATTATATATCGGTTTAATAATTTTTCATTGATCAGAAGTCATCGAATTCTAGTCAAATCGAGCGTACACTTGGTCACAAAAAAGCCCCGTCAGTGAGGTTTCATTGAAACTCTATAATTTTTTTTGGACTAGTGGTGAAACCAAAAGTTCTGATAATGAAGAAAAAATCCTATGGAGAATTCGAATATTTCCTATAGGATTTCTTATAAGATTACCTATCAGGTTTTTCTTATTGGATTCCCTACAGAATGTCTTATAGGATTTCCTACACGATATCCTATGAAATTCAGGGCCAGANCGACGGCCATCCCACCTTCTAGGGACATTTATGAAATTTATGCAATTTGTAGACATTTTACGCGCATTTTACGCATTCCTTACGACGGCCATCCCACCTTCTAGGGACATTTATGAAATTTATGCAATTTGTAGACATTTTACGCGCATTTTACGCATTCCTGGGTCATGCAATAGTCATAGGACCTTCATATAACCCCCATATAATCCCCATATGACACTTTTGACCCTCACTGTGACCCTTATCCCCTTTAATTTTATAGGAAATCCTGTTGAACATTTCATATGAAATCCTATACCGACTATGACAAGCGGCCACGTTTCGGCCTGTCCTGCTTGACAGACTTTGTTACTAATCAACAAATTGCTAACTGTAATCCATGAATAAATACATGGAGAGAAATTTTCTAGAAAATTTTTAGTAAGAGTATTGGAAAAATCCCAATCCACCGACTGTGAAAAATTCTAGGGCTGTTAAGGTAAAATTTCTGGGGATTTCTGTGAAATTTTCACAGAAATACGGGGAAAAATTCACGTTTTCCCCATAAAATTTCTAGTGCCGGCACTGGAATTTTTTCCTGGCCGTCACTTTCCGCCTCTTTTTCCGTGCTAGCACTAGAATTTAAAAACAAATTTTCTCTCCGTGTAGCGGTTCTAGGACAGGCGGGTTGAGAAAAAAGGGAAAAAAATAATCCAGAGTGGGACGTGAACCCCGAACTCTTTTGTTGCTAGTTCGGTACCCTATCCACTCAGCCGTGTCATTCTTGAAATAGTTATTTGTGTCACAAGGCCCGTAAGTGGAGGTTTGCGATGAGTGCTGCTAACTCACACGAATCGCAAACCGACACTACGGGCCGAGTGGCACATACTATTTTTTGTCATGAATGTCCGGGGGTGTGGGGGGGGGGGGAAGAGCGGGGTCTAGGGGCCGCAGGCCAAGTAGACCAAATAAACAAAATTGAAAAGAGGGAAATGATAAATTATAAATTCTAAATTAACGGACCGATCTAGAATGAAAAAATGAAGTAGAATGTGTCACAAGGTAAAATTCATCTATTTGTGCTGACGTACTTGCTGCGTCGTCACTGGTATTATTCACTTCACTAAAAATGTCTTGTGACTCCTCTTCGTCACTGTCGGGTATAATGAAATTCATTTCGCTCTTTTGTTTAACGGAATTTGTTACGATTTTCCTCGTGAATTTTGGGTTTTAGTGGCAAACTATAGTTCAGCCGCACGAGCTATAATGTAAGAGGGACTCACTTCACGTCTTACTTAACAGGCCATGGCCCGTAAATCGTGAAATCGGGGTTAGTTTTTACTTACCGGCCCATGGCCTGGTAAATCCCACTTACGGGGTCTAAAACACACCACGAAAACGCCACTTAACGGGCATGAATGACAAAAATAATCATTTGTTTCGTGTATATCAATAATATTGCTAATTTATTATTGAAATTATACTAAATCTACAATATTATCAATGACTATAGTTATAATTATAATTACACCCAAAAAAAAGTACTGATTCAAGTTGACGTCGGCTTGATTCTAGTTTTGATTTTCGGCTTGATTCGAGCCGAATGACTCGGTCTACGTCAATCCGTATTACGGGTCTGATATGAGTCGAAAAGTGGTTCATTTCAAGAAACGTGTCAAGTTGACATTGGTTTGAATCAAGCCGAAAAATCGTCTTGAATCAAGTTGAAAAATCGACTTAAATCAAACCGAAAAACGGAGTGATTCACGCCGAAATTCTGCGTGTTACAGATAGTAGATAGCGGCCTGATTCAAGTCGATTTTTCGGTTTGATTCAATCCAATTTACGGCGTGATTCTAGTCAAATCAACACTTGATCCAAGTCAGGAAGATACACTGATAGGCAAACGTCGAAATTTCATGGAGTTCAA